GAGCTCGCCGCTCTCAAGGCGGAGCTCGCCGGAGCCTCAAAGGCGGCCCGCGAGAGCGAGCAGCTCCGGCTGCAGCTGCACGAGGAGCGGCGGCGCGTGTCAGACGCGACCCTGCCCGCGCTCGAGCCGGGCTCGGAGCCGTCCGACGTCGCGCTCGCCGCCCTCAACCAGGAGCTCGTCTCGGCCAGGCTCGGTCGCGCAGAGTCGGACGCCGCCCTCGCCGAGGCGCGGCGCGAGGTGGCGAGGACGAGGGAGGAGCTGTACGAGAGCCGGACCAGAGCGGAGCAGCGGGAGGCGGAGCACGCCGCCGCACTGAGCGCGGTGAAGGCGCAGCACAAGGCCCGCGCCGCCGCCGCCGCGCGAGCGAGCGCCGACGGGAACGGCAGCGCCCGCGCCTCCGACGGCCGCGCCTCCGCCGCCGAGGCGACGCAGTTTGCCGCGCAGGCGGCGGCCGAGGCGATGGCGAGGGCGGAGGCGGCGGAGGGGAGGCTGGCCGAGGTGGAGGCGCGGCTCGACCAGGCAGTGCGCGGTGCGGCGGAGGCGCACTCCGAGGCGGAGCGGCAGGCGGCTGAGCTTAAAAAGGCGGCGGCGGTGCTCGCGGCGGAGAACGCCTCCGTGGAGGGCAAGCTGCACAAGGAGGTGGAGAAGGTGGACAAGGCCAAGGAGGCGCTCAAGGTGGGGATCGCCGAGCGCAAGCAGCTGCAGGCGGAGGTCAAGGCGCTCGAGGCGCGCCTCTCAACCACCTCCCGCGACGAGCAAAAGTCGCAGGGGCGGCTCAGCTCTGCGGCGGAGGTGAAGCGAGAGCCGTCCTCCAGCGGAGACGAGCTGCGACACACGAGGTGAGCACGGCGTGTGGTAGGTGAACCGAGAGCTGTCCTCAGAGCGGGACACGCTCGCCGCGCAGCTCAAGAAGGCGAGCCGCGAGCTGGAGGCGCTGCAGGCGACGCGGGCGAAGGAGGTGTCGGCCGCGGAGCAGCTGCGCCAGGGCCTCGATCGCGCGCAAGCCGAGGCGCGTTCGGCGAGCGAAGACTCGAGCGCCGCGGTGCAGGCGCTGCGCACCAAGGTCGGCGCGTTCGAGCGCGAGCTGGGCAAGACAAAGTCGCTCCTCGCGCAGAAGGAGCTCCAGCTGTCGACGATGAGCGCCGACAACCTGCAGAAGCTCGAGGCGGAGCGAGACGAGCTCTCCGCGACCGCGGCCGGCCTGCGGGACCAGCTCGAGGAGGCGCGGTCGGCTGCCCAGGTGCGAGAGGCGAGCCTCGCGGAGGCGGCGGCGCAGGCGACACAGCGCGCGGACGAGCTCGAGCAGAAGTTGCGCGAGGCGGCCGCCGCTGCCGACGCGGCCGCCGCCAACGCCGCTGCCGCCGAAGCGGCCTCGGCCGGCGGTGCGGCTGCCGGCGGTGCGGCGACGGTCGCCCCCGGCGAGGGTTGGGCGCCAGGCGACAGCTGGGTTGTCAACGACAGCGAGTTTGAGGCCGCTCCCGTCCCCGGCGGCGACGCTGCCGCCCTTGCTATTGCCGATGGCGTTCATCTTTCGACGGCAGAGCCCGCACGCTCTAGCGGGGCGCAGCCCTCCCCCGGCGACGACGTTGCCGACGGCGCCGCGAAGGAGCAGCAGGCGGAGCTGCAGGCCGAGGTGCAGAGGCTTCAGGAGGAGCTCGCCTCCCTGCAGCGCCGGAGTGAGGAGAGGGCCGTCCACGAGGTGGAGAATGAGCGCACGCTCCGCCGCCTCGAGCAGATCCGCACGCTCAAGCTCGATCTCGCAGCCGCGAAGGAGGAGATCGCCGCCTTGAAGAAGGGCGAGCAGAGCCGCACGGAACGCGCCGCGGCTCTCAAGGAGAAGACGCAGGCGTACGTCTCGCAGCTCCGGGCGGACCACGCTGCCGCACTCGACGCCGCTGCCGCCGACGGCCAGAGGGCGCTGGAAGCAAAGCAGCTCGAGCTCGAGCGGTTCGAGGCTGCTGCGGCGGACGAGATTGCAACGGCGCAGATGAGCCTCGAGGCGGCGGAGCGGACTGCAGGGCTCGAGGCGAGCAGCGTCCGCGCGACTCTGGCGGCAGAGGCAAAGGCGCAGATCCGGACGATGAGCAGAGAGATTCGAGAGATCGAACGGCAGCTCCAAGCGGAGGGCGGCTGAGAGCGTGAAAGTGCCCGTACAGCGTACTCTATCTGCGTCTCGTGAATGTGTTATTAATAATGTTTTCAAAAAACATGACTCAGATCGTGCACGCGCTCCATGTCCATCGCACGCGGAGCTGCTCTAGCAGCTCTCCTCTGCGCTCTGGATCGGTGACATCTCCTGACTGTCACGTGTCAGCGCGGGTCTGACATGTGTTGTGCGCTGGGACAGCGCTCAGCGGCGCTACTCTTAGATAACGTAATCTCACACGACACAGCATCTCACACATAACGATAACTCAACACTGGAGAGGGGAGTATATGTACATCGCGCGCTTTCATCGCTCAAAGGACAAAGCTACTCAATGTGCTCCGCCCGATCCCGGTCCAGAATCGCCGCGCGCAACGCCTCGAAGGAGGAGTTCTCGCCCTCGATGCGGATCAGGTCGAGAGGCGACGAGCCGCCCTCGGCGCCTCCGAGCACAAACTGCTCCACGGGCTGAGCCGTGAGGGGCGAGAGCGGCAAATGCGACAAGCCAGGCATCGGACAGAGAGTGACGTCGGCGCCGGCCGCTGCGTACAACGCCGCCAGCCTGGCGCCGTTGGCGCAAGGGACCACCCGGTCGGCGGTGCCTGTCATGACGAGGGTCCGCTTGGCCGGGGCGGCGAGGATCGCCTCCCTGCGCTGCCTGGAGAGGAGGTGATGGTGGTCGAGGGTGCAAAAGAGGTTGACAAGCCAGCCGCGCAGGCGGCCGCGCACGTGCGGACCTCTCTGGTCCTGCAGCAGCGCCGAGACCTCGCCCATTAGCGCGCCGCCGTCCCGTTCGGTGGGCGCGATCTCGCTCGCCGCAACCTCGACGCAGCCGCGGGCGTCCTGCTCGGCGTCGTACCAGAAGAATCCCGCCCAGCCCGCCGCGACGAGCGCGGCGAGCGCACGCGCCCGGTAGAGCGGCGACGAGAAGACGAGCTCCGTGTCCTTCGGCGGCCGCGCCGAGTCGCGCGGGTAGCGCGAGCAGCGGCTGTTGCGCGTGAGGAGTGCGCGGTGCGCAGTGCGCCGCCGGGAGCGGTTGCGGTCCGCCTGCTGGAGCAAGCCCTCCAACACCAGCCGAAGGTAGCCAGAGGCCTTCGTTTGGGCGCCCTCGGGCGGAAGCGTGTTGATCAGCACCGCGGCGGCGAAGGACCCGAGCCCACGCTCGCGAGCGAGCGCCATCGCGTGCTGCGCCACCATCCCGCCCTGGCTGATGCCGACGAGGGTCGTCTCGTGGGGAGCCCATCCCAGGTGCGTCAACACCCGCAGCGCGTCCTCTCCCAGCCCATTAATCCGCCACAGCGCGCGGCCGCACGACGAGCGGCCAGAGCCTCGCGTGTCGAAGGCGGCGATGCACGCGCGGCCACGCAGGCTCGAAAGGAAGCCGAGTGCCTGCCACAGCTCGAGAGTGCAGCCCCAGCCGTGCATCGCGAGCACCTTGATCGGCGACGAGCAGTCGCCCTCAACCTCGACGCGGAGGTGGCGGGTGCAGCGCTTGCCCTGGACCAGAGCAAGCCATGGCTGCCAGCGACCTCCCGGAGCCTCCACCCACTCGACCTGAGCTGCCGTTCCCGCCGCTGCCAGAACGTCTCCTTGAGTAGCGTCTTCGTCCACGTCTCCCTGAGTGGTGGGCGACGCGTCCTTGGTCATCCCTGTTGTCGGCTACCTGTGTCGGCCGCGGAGGAGTCTGAATTCTCACGCCTGGGTTCCGGCTCCTACCCGGATAGGGGGTCTGTTCACACTGACTCGCGCCAAAACGCCCTACCTACCTACCTATCCCCAGGCCGCGCAGCGAAGCGAAAAAAGATGAAAATAGGGGGTACCTACCTATTGCAGGGCCCTTTTGGGCCAAACAAGACCAACCTACCTACCTATCTGGGAGGGAGGGGCCAGCCAGTGGGAACAGACCCCCTATCCGGGTAGGAGCCGGAACCCTGTGCGAAGAGGAGCTCGGCCGCACTCGCACGAGAAAGATTGAAGGTAAAACTAGCAGGGATCCTAACATCTACATAAGGGATCCCTCCCTTGGGTTGTTGGGACTGGCGCGCACCTGGGAGAGAGAGATTTTTAGAAGCCAACAAGAAATCGCTCCCACAGTGACTTGGGCTCGGCAGCTTGTCAAGTACCAGCCGGAGCCGGAGTCGGAACGTAGCCGAGAAAGTCGTCGAGGGTGTCGAAAATGTCATTCGCCGCGCTAGTAGAGCCGGAGCCGCACTTGCTTGGTCGGACTCTGGCACTAACACAGGACACAGCAGAAAAGAATTTGTGCGGGTCCCGTGCTGGCACTAACACAGGCAAACCACCGGAGCCGTATGAAAAAAAACACCGGGCTCACCTCGAGACAGCAGCATAATCAAAACTCTCGGCTCTCTCGCTGTGATTTTGTGTGAGCTCTGTGTCTGGAGATCAGCAGGATCAGCAGGAGGATGTACGAAGAGATTAGGAGCAGCAGGAACCCGAGGGATCATGTGGAAGACGGCTAGTGCTAGTCCCCCATCGGGAGGACGACCCCGGCTAGTCGCCGACCACACCCACAAAGAACCCTGCACAAAGCTCGCACGGGCGGGGACCTGTTCCTTTTTACCCATCTCACAGTAGAGGTGCGCCGTTTTTATTTATTTTGGCAATGCAGAAGTTGGGGGCAGGGGAGAGCCGTCGTCGTTTAAGAGTCGTCGTTTAAGAGAGCGTGGAGTAAGAATGAAACAGTACCAAGAAATTAGACTGCCGCCCTCACTGCCTCCCTGGCTCCCTCTCCGCCCTCTGCACGCTGCGCAGGCAAAACGCCTGCGCCTCCGCCGGCTCGAGCTTGACGATGTCCTTGACTTGTACCTGCTGCATGCACATCTGGCACACGCCCTCCGTCTGAATCAGCTGCGTGAAGACCGCGTAGGAGGCGGGGAACCCACACGAGGGGCAGAGGCACATGTCCGACGTGACGACGTGCCGGCCGGTCGCGACACAGTAGGGGATCTGGTTCTTGGTGGACGGGCACTCGAGCTCCGACTCTGGCAGCCTCGCGGCCGAGTCAAAGGGCGACGGGGTCTCCGCCTCCTCGGCGTCAGTCTTGTCGCCCGGTTTGCGCACAATGTTCTCGATCTTTCGTCTGAAGCCCTCCTGCAGCTGCTCGCGGTACTCTGGCCGCATGAGCGTCGTGGCAAACTCAAAAGCGGACTCGCGCAGGCCCGCACGGTGGCACTCGATGACACAAGAGGTGAGGATAGGAACGACGTGCGCGGGGAAGCGTGAGATGCTCCGCGCCACTCGGCAGAGGAGCCTCGCTGCCGTCATGTGATCGCCGCTCTTGGAGAGCGGCTTGACGAGCACGTACGAGTGCAGAAGCATCAGGCTGTTGGCCAGCTCTTGCGGCACGCGGATGCGCTGCGAAGAGAGCTCTCGATGCGTGTCGAAGAGGATCTGGTGCGCCACGCGGTAGTTTCCAACCTCCTGCTCCTGCCGTGCGATGATGATTGCCGTCTTGGCCGCCTGCGTGTAGTTGCCCAGCGCCATGTAGAGCTTGAAGATGTAGTTGGGGTCCTTGGGCACGCCATCCGTCTCGCCCATCAAAAAGTCGATCAGCTGGTGGGTGAGGGTGTCGGAGCGCGCGCGGCCCACCACCTCGGTGGCCTGGCGGACGGCGCGCTCCCCACACTGCAGGAAGAGTCGGAGTGCCTTGGCGTAGTCCTTGAAGAGGAACCAGAACTCGCCCGCTCGCATCGGGTCGCCCCGCTCCTCATAGTACTGTGCGACCTTCTTGTAGTCGCTCGGGCTGCCGTCCGCTCCCAGGGCCGCGGTGAAGACCTCCATGTGGTCGTTGGTCGAAGCCGCCTCAAAGGCATCCTCCGCCCGCTTCGCAAGCAGGAAGAACTCGATGGCATTCCGGCTGTCCCCGGCCGACACGCAGTGCCTCGCCACCAACAGGGCGCCCTGCGACGACTTGGACTCGCGGACGACGGCAAACGCGCGCTGTGCCTTGCCGAGGTGGGACAGGAGCAGCCGCACGACAGAGTCAACATCGTTGGCCTTTTCGTACGCCGCAGCCGCCTCCTCGTAGGCCTTGTCAATCTCTTTGGCCTTTGCGTACTCGATGAGCAGCTTTGGCGCCGAGATGCGGCCCATGAGCGGTTTCGCCGCCACCCAGTTCTTGGTGCGAATGTAGATCTTGACCGCCTTCTCGGGCGCGTCGCCCTCCTCGTAGAGCCGCGCCGCATCCTGCGGCTGCTTTAGCACGGTGTCGAGGATATCCGCGCACTCGCGGCAGCACTGAGCGTCGCCCGTCTCGAGGGCGAGCTGAGCTCCCCGGCCCGCGTCGCCCATCCGCAGCGTCATCTTTGCCACGCCGACGGCACAAGCGTGCGCGAGGCGTGAGTCGCCACCGCGCGCATCAAAGCGTGAGGCGAGCGCCTCCGCCGCGTTGAGGCCTGCCGTGTACATTTGCAGGGCTCGCTCGTACTCCTCGCGAAACTCGAGCTGCTGCGCAAACTCGCACGAGATGTACGGCACCTGCTCCGGCGCGAGCGTCTTCGCCAGCTTGAGGGCCTGCTCCCAGTGGAGCAGGTCGCGGCGCATCTCGAGCGCCGCGATGGGCCTCGTCGATACCAGGAAGAGCTCCTGCGCGCGCGAGTAGTCCTCGAACGTTAGGGCGATGTGCCCGGCGAGCAGGTTTGCGTCCTCGATGGCGCGCAGCTTGGAGAGGGTGAGCACCATGCACGCGTCGCCCTGCTCGCGGTAGGCTCGCTCCGCGAGGGCAACATCGAGGTTCAGCAGGGCCGCCCTGGCCAGCTTGAGGTAGAGCTCCTGGTCGCGCAGCAGCTTGGCGACCTCCCACGCTCGCGTGAAGCGCAGCAGCTCGAGGTTCTGGTGGAAGCACTTGCGGAGCGTCTCGCCCGCCGCGCCGCCCTTTGCCGCCACTTTGAGAATGGCGTCGTGGGTGGAGAGAGGCACGTGCACGATCGCCCCGTTGTCGGCCTGCGATATGACAGTCCCGTCGTACGCCATGATGGGCGTCAGGCCCGGCTGCAGCTTGGTCTGGCCGATGGGCTTGACGCCTCCGCTGCCTTCGTCGCTGACATGGTGCTGCGAGTAGACGTAGACGGAGAGCACCTTCGCGTCGTGGACCACGAGCACGCCCCAGTCGGCCGAGTCCCACATCACGCGGATCGCCGCCGGCGGGAAGCGTGGGATGGGTCGCGCCAGGTCGACCACCGGATTGTAGAGGAAGCCGGCGGCGGTGTCGTCGACAAAGACCAGCCGCGTCGCAGAGTCGTTGGGGAAGAGCTTTGCGATGCCGCACTCGTGCCTGTACTCGTTGATGAGGGCGAACTCTTGGAGAAAGATGTAGGAGATGGTTCCCCGCGCTGTGCCGTAGACAAGAAAGTCCCTCGACATGCACATGCACGTGACGTCCGCGCTCTCGTCCTTTCCCGGGAAGATTTGCGCGCCGTCGTCGCCCTCGCGGAGAGTGTGGACTTGCACGCGCCCCTCCGACAGCACGGCGACAAAATCAGCGTTCAGGATCACCTGATCCACCGTGCCGAGGTACTCCCGCTCGAAGGCGAGCGGACAGTCGTCCGCCTCGAGCGAGTGGAAAAAGACTTGGTTGTTCATCCCAACCGCGGCGTGCGCGGGGCCGAGCGCGGCAAATGTCGGCTCCATGCCGATCCTGACGCGGCGTGGCTCGTCGCCCTTGCGGTCCGGCAGGGCAGAGCACACCGATAGTTCCATGAGCGAAGTCAGGTACATGTAGCTTGCGCCGTGCGCGATCGCGAGAGGCGGCAGGCACGCGAGGAAGCTGAGGACTGCACCCGAGCTTGACGAGACGGTCAGCACCTGCCCATCCCTCGTCCACGTCACGTGCTGGAGGTCGCCGTCCTCCGAGTCGAGCAGCATGGACTCGTCCTCCATCTCGCGATACTCATCATCGAGGTCCACAATCTTGATCTCGCGCCCAGAGCAGACCGCGGCGCGCCGCGTCTGCGCCGAGACCGCAAGAGAGGCGGCGCCGGCAAAGAGCTTCTTTGAAAAGAGCTCCTCAGTCGACGCGCCGACCTCGGCCGAGCGGACGACAAAGTAGCCCGAATCGAACGCGACCGCAACGAGTCCGTCGCCAAACCAGCGATAGGACGTCACCTTGCCGTACGTGGGCGAGAACTTGAGCTCGGTGCCGCCAGTCGGCTTATTGACGTCAAAGACGAGCAGCGTGCTGCCGCCGCTCACCACGGACGCCACCGAGCCGCCTCCGCCGCGCGCCGGAATCTGAATGGCGGACCCCTCCGCCTTCAGCGCCGTCTGTGCAAGCGCGTCGCCGTCTGCGTTCGAGATGGTCACCTGCCGGTCGGCCGAGGCGAGGACGAGCTTGTTGTCCGAGCTCCACGCGCCGGACGTGATAGTCTTGGCGTGCTTTCCGGCGATGGACTGCTTCTTGAGTGTGCGCTTGTTGTAGATGAGGAGGTTGCCTGTCACCGCGGCGACATCGGGCGTGATCGCGCAGTTGCTGTGAGGCCCTCATTGGGGACACCTCACCCTTTGCTGTGCCGATGGCCAGCTGCGGTCCCGCTGCCGACCAGCAAATGAGCGTCAGCTCCTCCTTGACGCCCGTGTCGAGGGAGGACTCGGAGTTCTGATTGGCGTCCCACAGCTTGATCACGGGCGACTTCTCCTGCATCACCGCCAGCATCTCGCCGTCCTTGTCCCACTCGAGGCCTGTGCACTTGCCGCTGCCGTCGAGCGCAATCTCGGCATGCTCCTCGCCCTGACGATTGAAGACGTTGACAACGCGGTTCTTGCCGCAGGTTGCAAGAAAGGAGCCCTGCGCGCACAACGCGGGCGACGAGCAGTCACATGGGTAGTCAATGCGTAGAGGGAGAGAGCGGAGCATGCCTGCGGGTGCCACGCCACGGTGACGCTCCCCCGGCCGTGGCTCTTGGGAGAGACGGCAAAGAGCTTTTTCTGCGTGTTACATGGCGGCGGCGAGTGGTGAGCGGCTCGCGCGGGAAGAGGGAAATGTGGGCGGACGGGTGGGTCGGCACACCATCGTCGTTGCAGTGTTCGGCCTAACGCCCCCCGCCCACGGCGATTCGTTTCAGGCGGTTTAAAGAACTCGCGCGTCCCCGTCAATGAGTGCACATACGAGTACCTTCGTGTCGCTCGTCGGGCGCCCGCGGGTCAGGCTGCACGGCTTCGGAATGTCTGCTTGGAGTGCAGTTATCATCCTCACAAAATGCAGGTAGCCAGAAAACACGCCTCCGTGGCTCGGGTTACACCAATCCTCGCTACCCAACGCGGCCAAAGGATATCCACCTCGAGAACCTCGAGAGACCTGCGTCCGGTTATTTTTGCTCGTGTTCCTTGGGTCGGCGCTCGGTGCGCGGCTGCATTTGCACACGTGTGGTGAAGCAGGTGGCCTGCTTGATTTCCACGCAACACCATGCGTGCGATCAAGTCAAAAGTCAAGAAGAAGTTCGCCAAAGATCCGTCTCTCGCTGACCAATTTGGCGACGCCGCGCCCGGCTATCTGCCCGAGCAAGAGAGCGCCGAGGCCGGCGCCTTCCCCGCAGCGGCTGGCACAGCAGGCAGCCTTGTGGACCTGCTCGAAGCCAGCGCCGATCTGGGCCCCAGCGCTGCCCCGCTCTCGCCGCAGCGCGGCTCACCGCGCGGCTCACCGCGCGGCTCGCCTCGCGGCTCGCCACGCGGCCGGCTGCCGCCAGAGGACGACGAGGCGGCAGGGCCGCCCTGGGATGAGCGGCCGCCTCTCAGCCCGAGCCGCCTGTCGCAGCTTCCCTACTCTGCCGGTGTGGGCCTCCCGCTCGAGAGCTTGCGCGAGGTGCAGCACGCCCTCTCGGTCAGCCCGTGGATGCTTGCGCTGCCCGAGCTGTCCGCCTTTCAGTCCTTCATCACAGAGATGGCGGCGGCGAGCGCGGCGGGCACGCCCGAGCGGATGTTGCGGATGGTCCGGGCAGAGGCGCGCGCGGAGCTCCGTGCCGCGGACGAGGCCGACCGCGGCGACGACACGGCAGCGGCCGGCCCTGCCGCTGCGGCAGCGGCTGCGGCGGGAGCGCCGACCGAGGCTCCTGCCGCCGCCGGTGCCGGTGGGGTCGAGCCGGGCGTGAGCAGATACGCGAGCGACGCGGGCCCCGAGGAGTACGACCTGGCGGACGGCCGCCCGACCCCGCAGGACGTCGAGGAGCGCGTGTACGAGAAGGCGGCGATGCTGCTACCTAAGGGCAGCCGCGCCGAGGTGACGTACGAGGAGGTGACATGCGCGCCGGTGATCCACCTCTTCTCTGCGACGGTCGGGCGCGAGCTCTTCGACAAGTCGCCGCCCGAGGTGCACGTCATCATGTGGGCCGTCGACTCGCGCGACCGCTGCGTCGGCGGGACCGTCTCCTGGCCTGCAAAGGAGGGGAGCGCGAGCCCCGTCTGGAACTCGGCGCGTCAGCTCGCCGTCGGGGTGTCGGACCCGGGCGCGCAGCTGCACATCGAGCTGTGGGCGACGCAGACGGACGCGGCGCTCGCGGCGGCCAAGATCCCGCTGCACAGCCTGCTCGCCGCCCCGATCGACGTCCCTCTCCTCCGGCCGGACGACGGCGAGGGAGGCCCTCCCCGCCACACGCCGCGTGGAGGGTCGGCGGTGCGGCTGCACGCGCTGCCGGCGCCGTCGCCAATGAAGACGGTCTTCTTCGTGCGGCACGGCGAGTCAAAGTGGAACGAGGCGCAGGCCAAGCGCGACGTGCTCGAGATGGTCTCGCAGGTCTGACAGCCACCTCGGGAGTCTGGTTGCTCTTCCTTCTCACACTCACTCTCTCTCACTCTCGCAGGTGGACCACCCGCTCAACGAGAAGGGCTACAAGCAGGCGTGCGAGCTGCAGCGGGCGATCCGCGCCGCGGCGGACGGCGGGCGGAGCATGCTCTCTTCGTCCCCCTCCGAGGCCGCCGCCCTGCGCGCGCTGCTCGGCGCTCAAGCCGTGTGGGCCTCGCCGCTCACTCGCGCCATCCAGACCGCGGTCGTCGCGATGCGGCCCCTGCTCGAAAAGGGGGACGGCCCGCCGCCCGAGCTGATGCTCTTCGGCGCCGACAGCTCCTCCGCGCGCCTCTCGAGCGACAGGTCCTCCGATGGCGGCGCGGTGGCGGCGGCGGCCGCCGCCGGCAGCAGCAGCGGGTCTGGCGACCAGGCGGCGATGGAGCTTGAGCTAAAGACCAACGCGCGCGAGAAGAAGAACGTGGGCGGCCGCGACACGCAGGGGCTCGTGGTCGGCGCCGCATGCGCCCAGCGCGCGCGGCAGAAGCTGGCCGAAGTGGCGCCCGGCGCCGAGCGCTTTGGCGACGGGATCAAGTTCAACTTTGACGAGGCGCGCCGACGTTTCCCCGAACCGCCCCCCACGAGCGTCTCCCTGAGCCTGCCTTGGACCTGCCCTGCAGGTGAGCGAGCCGTGGTGGAACACCTCGGCCGAGGCGAGGGACGAGGTGCGCGGTCGCCTCCTCGAGCTGCTCTACCAGATCCAGTTCTCGCGGCACGACACGATTGTCATCGTCGGCCACTCGCACTTCTTCCGCTCGATGTTCCAGCGCTTCCTGCACGCCGACGTGGGCCACCGCTCCACCGAGCTCGCCAGCCGGCTCTGCAAGGACGTCCTACCCAACTGCGGCGTCGCCTGCTGCCAGCTCGACTTTAGCCGCGGGCCCCGGATGATCACCGACGTGCGACTGCTCGTCGCGGCGCAGACGCCAAACGCGGGCGTCAAGCTGGTGATGCAGCGGCAGTTCGAGCAGCCGACGGGGCCGGTGGTGCACCTCACGGGGGTCAACCACGTGCCCCTCTTCGACCTCTCCGCGCGCGTCCAGGTCACCATGTGGCTCGCCGACAGCAGCGGCGTCCACATCGGCAGGCAGGCGGCCTGGCCGGCCGCCACGGCGCACGCCACCTCGCCCGACGACGCAAAGGCGCTCGCCGACGCAAAGGGGAAGCGGAACCTGCGGCCCGGCCTGGTGTGGCGCGGCCGCTGCACGTGGAACTCGGCGCGCCGCCTCGGCCAGTCGCACTGGGGCGCCGACACGGTGCTGCACCTCGCGGTGCGCAGCGGAAAGGACTCTGCGCTGCTCGCGTCGGCCGAGGTGCCGATGGGGTGCGTGGGGGCGGAGGAGCTCGAGCTGGGCGCGCTCACCTACGCGCCGAGCCGGCGGGGTGGCCCGCCCACCTCGGACGGCTCGCTCGGCCCTCCGTGCACCATCACCCTCCGCTCGGTCGCCGCCGAGCGGCCCGTCAAGCACCTGTTCCTGCTGCACACGGCGCAGTCGACGTGGTCAGAGGCGTACCGCACGATGCTGCGCGCCGCCGGGATGGAGGAGCCGTCCGCGCGCGCCAGCGGCGGCACGGGAGCCGTCGGGGAGCAGACGCAGAAGCTGAAGGAGCGGCTGGGCGGGATGGCCAAGCGCGGGCAGGAGGCGTACCAGCGCATGCGCGCCGTCATGGCTAAGACGGACCACCCGCTGTCGCGCATCGGCTACATGCAGGCCGAGCGCGTCGGGGCCGCGATCCGCGCATCCGCCGCGCTGAGTGGCGTCGCGCGCTCGTCCGCCGCCGACGGCGACGGCGGCGCCGCCGCCGACGAGGAGCAGCGCGCGGCCCTCCTGTCCCTGCTGCAGGGCACCCACGCGCTGTGGTCGTCCCCGCTCACGCGCGCGGTCCAGACGGCGCAGCTCGCGCTGCTGCCCCTGCTCGAGGCGGCGGGCGTGGTCGAGGTCAAGGCCAACGCCAGGCAGCGCCGCGGCCTCACCAACCCAAACATGTCCATCGGGACCGTATCGGGCGACGCCATGCGGCACCGCTGCGTCGAGAAGTTCCGCGAGCTGGCCGCCTCGGAGCAGGGCCTGTGCGACGAGGCGAGCCTCGAGCAGATCGAGGCGAGCGAGCTCGACACGGTCGAGGCGGAGGCGCGCTGGTGGTCCGACAAGACGGAGTCGGAGCGCGACTTTCAGGCGCGGGTCGCGGAGCTGGTCTCGCAGATCCGCTACTCGCCGCACGAGTCGCTGGTGCTCGTGACGCACGACGACGTCTTCCACGAGCTGCTCGGCCGCCACACGCACACCTCGGCGCACGTGCGGCAGGGGCCGCTCCTCAAGCAGATGACTTCGGGCTCCGTCCCCTCGTGCCAGCTGCTGTGGTGTTGCATGGACTTTGGGCGTGAGCACGCCCAGCCGATCACGGACGTCGTCGATATGTCATCGCTCCTGCAGGTTGCGATGCCGCAGCAGCCCAGGCGGGGGAGGTCAGTCTCCGGGAGAGGGAGCGAGTGATGGGGCCGCGCCCTTGCTCCCTTCCTCGCTGCGTATGGGCGCCTCTCGCGAGTGCTTGTGTTCTGATGTTGTGCATGCACACGCTCACGCACTCGGCTCACGGCTGTCACGGTCTCTTCGCGCTGCGGGCCCCTCTTGGGATACCGCTTGTACACACACCAGACCAGACCTTACACTTGTGCGTGGTGCTCTGATGGAGAGGGGGTCGTGATTCCGTTTCCCTTCAGAAAATATCGCCGTCCGCACACGTGCCGGCGGGGGGAGAGGCAGGCGCTGGAAAACGGGGTGTCTCAAGAGGCGACTCTCAGTCTCGGACTTTCTCAGGCGCGGCGCGTCAGTCGGCTCTGTGTGAGAGGCGACGGCGCCGGCCGGGTCCGGGCGCGCGAGGAGAGCGCGCGGGGCGGCGCGCACGCGCGTGAGGCCGTGAGCAAGCGGGGCGCCCGCCCAGCTCCGGCCGGCGAACGCGGCGTAGATGCGTGCGCTGTGCGAGCTCCAGGATCCATGCACATTGAATGGAACGGCCCCAGATCGTCCGTTCTCAAACCCGTTGGGTTCCCTCCCGTCCGTCCAAGCTCCGCGGTTCGTCGCGGTGTCGTGATGCGACGACGATGTGTTGCACGGACGCGCCCGTCCAATTTGCCTTGCTCATTGACGCGCACACGATTCTGTCTGGAGTATGCTGTATGGTGCTCAAGCTGCCACGGCGTCGCTCTGCAGCCACCGGACAGCGCCTTCGAGCAGGCCGCGCTCGATTACCGAGTCGGTGTGGTGCACGAGGTCCGCAAACTCCTCCTCCGTGTTTACGCGTGCGAGCTCTGGGAGAGAGACGGTTGCCAGAAGATATTCGACGTCGTGACGCGACACATTCCACATTTCGGAAAGCGCCGTCGCAGCTGCGTCGACGGGGTCGGGCTCCCGATTTGCGGCGGAGCGTGCGCCGTTGAGAATGCCAGCTGCGCAGGCAAGGACGTGCTCCACCGCGGCCTCGGAGTTCTCGCACCGAAGGACGTTGACACCGATGGGACACTCCTCTTGCAGCGCCTCGACGGCACTCTGCTGCGCGCGCTCGCCGAGCAGCAAAATCGTGCAGCGCCGTGCCGCACGTGCTGCCTTGGTGGCACGCTCGACAACCGCCGACGCCGCCTCCCCGCGAGTCAGCACGAAGGCGAGCGCGCCGCGAGGCGTGGTGAGCAGCATGTCGCTCGCCGCACCCTGCGGAGCGTCGCGAGTCCGGACGCCCTTTCGCTCGAGGTGGCGAGCTTCGGCGGCGGCGGCCGAGGACGAGATGACGAACATTTTTTTGCTCGTATGGTGGCAGTCGCGGTACCTGGTGGCTTTTAGCGGGCAGCGGTGGAGCGAGCAATAGCCGATTTGCGCCGCAGGCGCTCAGCGCCGCAGGCGTTGACAAGCACCCCCTCCCTCCCCCAAAAGCCGCAGGGGGTTCTGCTCAAAGCTCTACACACAAGTCTGGCACTGAAACGCAGTCCCATGTGGACGAGAAGACCCACGCAGGCACGTGCAAGGAATGGCGTTGACACCCTGGAATGTGGTGCGCACCCAGACGACTCCCAGACACAGGAGGGCCACAGAACGGAACGTGATACGTTGGTGCGTAATAGATAGGGAGCGTGCCGCCTTCACGACACGTGCCGCAGGCAGCGCCGCTCGGAGGGCCGCCTGTAACGTACAGCTGAGACAGCTGCATGCTGCAAGTGAACGGAGGGCGGGCGGGCAGGCGGGTGGCGGCGGTAACGGGCGGCGGCAGTGGCGGCGGGGGCGGAGTGGCGGCGCCGCGAGCGTGCCAGCGACAGAGCCGGTGGAGCTGGAGAGGCGGAGAGGGAGCGGCGGTGGCAGCGGCGACGCAGGCAGGGCCGGTGGAGCTGGAGAGGCGGAGAGGGAGCGGCGGTGGTTGGTGACGGTGGGCAGGGGGGGGGGGGGGGGGGATCTGCGTGGTTGCGCGTGGCGGCGGAGTCTGCTGAGTCTGCAGCGGCGGCGGCGAGGCGGAGGGAGGCTGCGGCGACGGCGAGGCGGAGGGAGTCGGCGGCGGAGAGGGGGGTGGCGGGCTCGGCGGCGGCGGCGACGGTGGGTCGTGCCCGAAGTAGCGTCACGCGCCACGAGCCCGTAGACCGACGAGGACTCGCGCAGGAGGATATCTTGAGCTGCCGGTGCGTGCACTCGACGAGCCACGCGAGGTGAGATGCCGCGTGGGAGGGCGAGGTGCCCGCGAGCCCGCTGCTTCGAAGCCTCGGCTGGCGGTAGCGAGCTGCCCCTCACAGCGCGAGGCGGTGCCTTGGCGTCGCGCGTGGAGCGCTGGGGAGAGCACCATTAGAGATCGCACTTGCCACAGGTTTCCATTAGCCTCTTGCTGCCCGATGCTTTGCTCATGCTTCGGTGTGAATCACGCCCGCTGTGAAAACATTTTGCGGGGGATTTTTTCGCCAGTCAATAGAGCATGAAAATACCTTTCAGACGGTACCTTTCTGTCCTCCAGAGTCGAAGAACTCGACCGGTGGCTGGCCGCCAAAGTGGCTGGACGGCGCCGCGGCGCACACTGGTGAGCCGCGGAGCACACTGAGGGAGCTGTCCTCGGCGCAGCCGATCGGCTCCCGCGGCCTGGGTGATGGCAGTGGCACTCTCTGAGGCTCCCTGATTTTTTCTGGTATTTGTTGAGCACTCTCTGGTCACCTTCGCCGGGCGAGCCTGGCTCTCGCTGCACAGCGGCGCGACCCGCGGTGAGGCTGCCGATCGTCGAACTGGGCTTAGCTCTCAGTCAAGATATTGTGCATATGGTCGGTCTCTACAATATCTTGACTGAGCACGACCGATGAATCAGCAGCAGGGAGACAGGAAGGCTCGCTGTGTGAGTCGGCCACGCAGAGGGTCGGAACCTGGGCAGCAAGAGGTTAGGTGTAGCGTCCGCCGGACACTACGAGCATTAGGGGTCTAATGGGAGCCGGACACAACGTAGTGTCCGGCGGACACTTCACCTAATGGCTCCACCTAATGACCACCGCTGCGAGGGGCGAGCCTACCTGGTAGTCGCGGTAGAAGAAATCTTGCAAAGCTTCTTCGCCTGGGATTGCTGTTTTCTTTCTTTCTTTCTTTAGCCCTGCGAGAGAGGTTACCAACTGCACTCCAAGTGCTCCAACCGGTCTTGAGGAGGAGGATGACCGTCCAAGTGCTCCTTGTCTTTCTTTATCAAGAATTCAAAACAAAATCCTCCTCAAGACCTCCTCGACGGGCGCTGGCAACGACTCGAGTGGCGGCACGCCCGCCTCCGTGGGCCACTCCTACGCCTTCGGCAACACCGAGGAGAAGGCCCGCCGCCTAAACATGGGCTGCAAGGGGCGCGCGGGAAGAAGCCGCCGTGTGTGACACATATTGCGGCACGTGTGACGTGAGTGTGTGAGAGACATATTGGGGTTTGGGGAGAGCCCCGGCGCGCGCGCGCAGCACGCGGGGCGTTTTTTATGCAAACAAACATGCAAACCTGAGGGAGGGTGTAGAGGATGTAGAGTGTAGAGCGCTGTAGAGCTGTAGAGATGTAGAGCGCTCTGGAGCGCTGTAGAGTAGAGCTCTACATCCGCCGCGTGACGAGGCGGGTGCGTTGTAGAGCGATGTAGAGGCGCTCTACAACGTAAAATCTCTACAACAAACTCTACATCATAATAAGCGGCGAACGAGGCACGGACCACGGTCGCTCTCCGACATGAGGCGCGTTGCACTTGCCAGTTCTGCCCTGGCCTTCTGTGTGCCCGCCCAATGGGTGGGAGGTGCCTCTGCTGCTGTGGCATGCCTCACGGCTGCGACTGGCCGGCGCCTCGGCGCGTCAGCTCGGCTCGGCGTAGCGATAGTGGCCAGCGCAACTCGCTTGGACTCAACGCTCAGCCAGGAGCTCCCGCACGCGCTGGCGCGAGTCATGGCGCATGCAACGCGTCTGAATGCTCGCCTCGCCTCGCGCAAATGCGACCGTCCTCGCAGCCAACAAGTCCACCGCCTGCTAAAGAAGCACTGCGACGAATGCGGCACCGGCGACGCATGGCAGGCCAGGCTGGTCATGACGCAGTTGTAGGGTGTTGTGTGTCGTCAGAGTGACTCTCTGTGTGTCAGGGATAGTCAGGGCCGTCCATCAGAGCTCCAGTAAGCTCGGAGACACCCCATTAGCGCGGCTCGACCTCTTTGAGTCACTGCCTTCCCGGCGGTTTGGCTGTAGAGCGGCTCTACAACAAACTCTACAGCAAAATCGCGCTCTACATCGCTCTACAACGCACCCGCCTCGTCACGCGGCGGATGTAGAGCTCTACAGCTCTACAGCGCTCCAGAGCGCTCTACATCTCTACAGCTCTACAGTGCTCTACACTCTACATCCTCTACACCCTCCCTCACTCAGATGCAAACGGGACGGCCTGCGCAGCCTCTAACTATATTTGTTATCTCTCTTGATTTTGTGCTTCCACCAGGCGGCAGGTAAAAGAAAGAAAGAAAACAGCCAACCCAAGGGAGGGATGGGAGGACGGCACGCCGCCACCACACAGGGATTTTAAGGCAGGTCCATCGCTGCCCGCGTACAGATTTTTTTCTAACGACCGGCATGGCTGACGCGGGCCCGAGCATCAGTGCCCTGAGCGCAGGCCCCAACAACTGCGCGCTCGAGGAGGCCATCACGCTCGAGATGGACTTCACCACTCCACGCGAACTGCCGGCGGGCAGCTGGCGCGTGCGGGTGCGCTTGTGGTGGCCTCTTGCCGGCCGGCTCAGCTCTCACGCTCCTGCCCGTGTGCGCCGCAGTTCGTCGCCGACACGGCTGGCTCGTGCAAGGTCGTCGAGCTTGGCTCGACGGATGCGCAGCGCTACCCGGAGGGGCCGGGTAAGATGAGGTTCCACCGCGACTCTCTCGACGTGATGCACCTGCAGCGGGCGATCCTCTGCAACGTCGGGCTGATGACGGCGCCGCCGCGCTCCCACCGGGCCCGCGACGGAGCGCCGCGGCGACAGATGCCCCGCCCCGTCCCTCCCACCCGCAGGCCACGCTGCTAGACGGCGACGACGAGGTGCTGGAGGTGCCGATGGTGGTGCACGTCACGCCGGACAGTGCGGGCAAGCTCTTCAGGTCAATATACAACCCGCTGGAGTGAATACGCCGGGATCATAGCGTCGCGCCGAGAGCCCGAGCGGGGCCGAGGCCGCCACCGGGGTGCTGCGGCAGGGGCGGACCTCAGTAACGTCTACACACCGAAGGGCGTTCGTCTTTCGTTCTCGCGCACGGTACACTCACGTGTCACGAGCCCTTGCTTCTGAAAAGAATCTCGTTGTAACAAAAGCCGTTGTTCTTTGCTGCGGCTCCCAGCGGCTCCTCTGCGATGCCCTTCCCGAAAAGTCACCCTCGGGAATGTTCTTACCACATTCTAGATTACTAAACTGAAAATCTCTGACGGGGCCGACGTTTTTTGATCTCTGGGTCAGTGGGGGGCCGAGCCACCTCGGGGTGGCGGGCGGGCGGGCGTTTTGAAAAACAGAAAACAGAAAACAGAGGGGGGCCAGGGCCCCCACTACGATTAGACACAAGCACCTGGCTCCTGGGACAAAGCGAGCAGCAGCAGCAAGCAGTTCAGCGGAGAAGGGGGGGGGGAGGAGCCGAGGGGGTGACGTCCCGACACGGCAGGTTGGAGCTGACCCAGGGAGAGAGAGAGAACAGCGATGGCAGCCCCCAATGACTGTAGACAGAAATGACGAGCCGACAGCGATGCAGCGGCAGCGAAAGCGGCGAGGAGGGCCCGCTGCAGAGCTCCGCTGGGCGGCAGCAGAGACATCGGCGGACGGGGGAGCACGCTGGACACGTCGGCATAGGAGCCAGGGGGGTGGGCTGGGCCTGCATCATGAATGGGCCTGCATCGCATGATGGCGACGGCGGCGACGTAGGCGAGACGGCGGCGAGGGTGGCGACGGTCACGATGAAGGTGGCTTGACGAAATGGATGACGCCATCGCGCAACATGACATCCTCGATGTCGTCGTCCTCGAGCCGGTTGAGCTCCTTCATCAGGAAGTGTATTGCCGTCGCCCGCTCCTTTTGCGGCGTCGCATGCGCCATCAAGTTGGGAAAGACTTTGACGAAAAAGTCATCGAGGGAGAACTCGTCCTGCTCCTGCTCCTGCAGCTCCGAGATCGCATCTCGGATCCTCGCGCGCGCAGCCGACATCCACGGGATTCCACTGCAGCACTCGGTCGTCGATGGCCTCCTGGCTCGCATCGCGCGCGATGCGCGTGTCGCGCGACAGCTCGTCCCACATCTTGCGCAGCACCGCGGGGGGCAGCTCTGTTGCAGTGAACTTCGCCTGGTAGTCCAGCAGCATCTGGGGGGGGGGGGGGGGCAGCGGTCAGTTCCTCTTTGTCTGCAAGTAAAATCAACGAGACACGTCGCTCCTGCCGCGTCGCCACCGTCGGCACCACTGCCGCCGCACGCGACAGCGCGGCAGCCTGCTTTGCCTCCGAGCGCAGCTTCACATCGGAGGGCACCTTCCACACGTAAAGCGTGTGTGGGCGTGGCCCTCCGCTTCGGAAGAGGTAGAGGTATAGTCCGCTCTCGGGAATGGCAAGCTGCGTTCGGAAGGCGTCGCGCACGTGCTTCTTCACGCTGGGTGTGGAAGCCTCGTCGACGCCCATGATGGCGTCGTCTAGCCGTACCAGCTCGTACTCGGTGACATTGGCGAGCTTGGCCCGCAGCCTCGCGTACATGGCGAGGCAGTCGTGCGGTGCGCAAGGCTCCTTGAACTCTGAGCCAACCACATCCTCCTCTCGGTCGGGCGCGCGAAGAGGCACGGTCTCCTTGCGTGCCGTCTCCTTGGCCGCTGCGTTCTTGTCCATCGCGGCCGCGAGCTTGACCATGCCGTCGGCGAGCGCCGAGACGTCGGACATGAATGGCTGCCAGCGTGATGTCTCGGACCACGGTGCGCAGCCAATGAAGCCCGCAATGGCCTCGCCGTACGAGCGCAGCTTCTTGGCCGAGAGGCGCGAGTCCAATGGCTTTGCGCCGTGGTGGTCCTCCGAAGGAGTCTCATTGTTGAGCGCCTCCGTCTTGAAGCGGCGTGGCACGACGAGGTGGACGCGGCCGGCCAGTCGCAGCGGGCTCGGATCGGAGTCGTCAAACGGAAGCACGTATTGCAGACCCGCCGCGATTGCAGAGAGAATGCGCTGGCCCGAGGCATTCGCATCGAGGACTGGAAAGCTCAAGCCGTCTCGCTGCAAGTTCGACAGCAGCGCGCGAAGGAGGCGGTAATCGTAGCGGTCGCCGTCGGGCGCAGGCGGCAGCGCCCTCGGCGTCTCGGCCTGGGTTTGCATGAGTCGCGTCAGCACATTTGGTAGCATGCCGGGGGTAGCAGGGGAATCCTCGGCGGTCGCCAGCACTTTGATGTTGCAGCCAAACATGTCTCGCAGAGTGGCGACTGTCGTCTCGTCCAGATCCTCGTTGTCGAGGACGGTGCCGGTGCCCGAAAACTCCGTCGTCCGAAAGCACTTGACAGTGCTGGCTGTGAGCTTGCCAGCAGCAATCTCCGGCTCGGCTCTCTCGAGTGCGTCGCTGACGACAAGGGAGAGAGCCACCTCCGCCTCGTGCATGCGGCCCGATTGGTGATGCTTCTTGCCAAGCTCGACGCGAACAACGACGGGCACCTTCGGCGCCATGCCGGAAGGGGCACGCGCCTCTGAAGATCGAGGCGCGTGGCTCAAAGCCGGCGCTGCGCGGGTGCGTGCCCATCGCCGCTTTTGGTCGCCGAATTACATGTTTTGGATGCCGTTTGGGGTCACTCACACCCGCACGAGGTAAGGCGGCGCGCAGCGCCGCGCTCGCAGGCTGTTTTTGACGTTTCTAGATTTTGTTTTTGTTTTCAGTCTAGGGGGCCCGACCCCCTCAGAGGCGGCGGGCGGGCGCCCACTGACCCAGAGATCAAAAACGCTCGGCCCGGCGGCGCGGCGGCACCGGTTGGCACGAGCCGCACCCGCTCCCGTGAGCCGTCACGATGTGTGTTTTTGCACCGGGTCGGTTGGGTCTGCTGTTATAAAGAAAGAAAGGAGGAAAACAGACAACCCAAGGGAGGGGTGGGAGGACGCACGCCGCCACCACACAGGGATTTTTAAGGAGAGGGGTGTGATGCGCTAGCCGTCGCGCCCACCCTTGGGAGTCTGCCTCTTCCTATCTCTCTTCGCAGTCTCTCCGCCGATTCTCGCTGCAACCTTCATTGTGGCTTCATGCCACCTCGCGGTCGTCCCACTCTCGTCGTTCTCTCTCTTGTCGCTTCTTCCTCTGTCGCGTCGCTCTCCTCTGCCTCGTTCTGCGACGGCGTCGAGCGACGGCGCCGCCGCCTGCCGCTCCCTTGCTCTCGCTGCTTCTCTCGCCTTTCGTCGCAGCTCTGCCCTCCTCGCGGCATATTTTGGCCCCTCGAGTTTATCGAGCTCTCCTCGCGCAAGGACGACTCTTCTGACGCTCACTGATCATTTGCCGCCAAGTCATATCGTTGCTCAGGTCCACTCTCTCTTCGAACACTTGTACCTCCACGGATGATGCTAGCGCTGGGATCCCCTTCGGGTGTTCGTGACTGCTGTTATAAGGAATATAAAAGAGCAGTCATCTCCATGGAGAGATGGGCGACGCACACGAACACAGAGGGACAGTGCGCACCCCGCCCCGCTCGCAGGGCGTGCATCACACAGGTGGACTGTGTGACTCCTTGGGTTCTGGGGACTCTTGACACAGAAAAAAGAAAGAAAACGGACAACCCAAGGGAGGGATGGGAGGACACAGAGGTGTGCTAGTCGCTAGTCTCCGACAATTCCGACATGTCTGACGGGCAGTTCGGGCTCGAGCGGTCGCGGTCGCGGCCAGCGCGTGGGGCCTGGCTAGGGTTGCCGGGCGAGATCTCGACCCACGCGCCGGAGCGCGCGTGGTGCTTGAGCAGCCGGGCGGTCGCCGCAGCCACCTCGAAGGGTAGCTCGTCGAGCCACTCGCCGAATGTGCCCTCGTCATCCTGCGCCGCAGCGAGGAATTGCTCACCTAAGCCGTACGCGCGGCAGGCCCGGTAGAGCGCCTCGTTCTGGATCTCCTCCGGCGCCTCGGAGTCGTAGCCGCAAACGGAGGAGCCGGCAGAAGAGGCCCGCTTCGCAGGCGGCGCGTCGGGCGAAGAGGAGCGGGAACGCCGCGGCGGCCCGCGCGCGGAAAGCGCGTTCCTGTCGACTCGGGGCTTGGTGCGCGGCCGCGCTTGGCCGGCCGGATTGTGAGGCAATTCTTTAACGGCGCGAAAATTCTTTTCTCTCCGGCTTCCCACACGCCGCGCGGTGCTGCGGAAGCACACGAGGAGCCCTGCGTTCGGATGGAAGACATCCACCGCTGGAAGGAGATCATCGAGGACAAGTCCTCGAGCCTAAAGGACTATGTCGAGGACAAGGTTGCTCAGGCGCCGAGCCTGCGCGAGCTGGCTCCGAGCCTGCGGGAAATGGCGCCTTCCAAGCAGGATCTTCTCCGGCGGCTCGGATCGATCTGCGGCGTGAGCGCGGACGACGACGACGCGGTTCTAAAGTGCGACTCTCGCCCCGCCTGGGATCCTCCGGCGCGCGCGACCGGCCCTCACCCACCTTCCCCCTTTGTCCCTCTGCAGCCGGCAGCGCCTCATACTCGAAGAGGAGGACCTGCCGCTCGAGGTGCCAGCCTACTCGCGCTCCGCTTACGTGTCGCCCGCACTGCCGCCATCGCAGAGCGGCCAGGCTGGCCAGGCCGGGGCCGCGCCGGTGACCGCGCCCGTCGCTGCAGTTTGCCCCGCGCAGCCTCGGCTCGACCGATCCGCAGCCTCGCCCTCCAAGGCAAACGGCAAGCGCAAGGCGGTCATCGCCGCGCCGGCCGCCGCGAGCAGCAGCGCATTGGACGAGGCGAGACCGTCCGCCAGCGGTGCGGCCGCGCCGCCAGTCGGGGCGGCCGCCGCCGCAGCGAGCTTTCCGACGGAGCGGCCGCGGGCGGTGGCGGCCGGCGCGAGCGCTGCCAACGGAGAGGCCAACGGGGGGCAAAGGGAAGAGGGGGTGGAGAGCGAGCTGGACAGCATAATGGCGCAGGTGGCCTTGCTGGAGGAGCAGGGGAGGATGGTCGAGGCCTCCTCGCTGATGGCGAGTGCTTTGGCGCGGGCTGGCCAGTGACTCTCGCGGAGCTGCACGTCCGCACCGGCGGCGGCGGCAGGATCGCTTGAGGGGGAGGGATGTGTGTGTGTGTGTGTGTGTGTGTGTGTGTGTGTGTGTGTGTGTGTGTGTGTGTGTGTGTGTGTGTGTGTGTGTGTGTGTGTGTGTGTGTGTGTGTGTGTGTGTGTGTGTGTGTGTGTGTGTGTGTGTGTGTGTGTGTGTGTGTGTGTGTGTGTGTGTGTGTGTGTGTGTGTGTGACCCGGGGCGCGATTGGGAGTGGTGGTGGTGGCAGCGGGGCGAGGGCGTGGGTGTGGTTTGTGGGGAGGGAGCGAGTGTGTGCGAGTCCGACGGTGGGGAGGGACCATGCAGGGAGACGCGACTCTTCTTTTACCTATTTTGCTCACATTCAACAAGAACCCGCGCCTACGCGCTCTGCTCCGGCAAAATCCAAAAAAGGAAATATAAATAAATAAAAGCGGACACACACCTCTCTACTGTGTCTGTGAGATGGGTAAAAGGAACAGTTTGTACGTTCCCGCCCGTGCGATCTTTGTGCAGGGTTCTTTGTGGGTGTGGTCGGCGACTAGCCGGGGTCGTCCTCCCGATGGGGGACTAGCACTAGCCGCGTCTACCGTCTTCCACATTGTCCCTCGGGTCGTCCCGGCTGCTCCTAATCTTTTCGTACAGCCTCCTGCTGATCTCCGCAACATCCTGCTCCCTCCCTCGTCTCGCCCTGCGCGTCTGCTCCGCCTCACCGTCGTCTGCCCTGCGTCGTCTGGTGACGGGTCCTCCATAGTCGGTTGAGGTCGCCGCCCTCCTCGTGTCGTGCCTCTTCCCAACGTTCCCTCGGCGGCCGATGCCGTCTGCTCCGGCTCCCCAGTCCCCGGGTCTGCCCTGCTCTCGTCTGCGCTAGTTTCTGTGTCCCTCGTCTTCTTTCTCCTATGCGTCGATTCCTTTTCGCGTGAGCACCACCCTGAGCCCGCCCAGCAGCTGAACCGCTCCCTAAGTCGAAGGAGCATCATCAGTCTCACCCACTTCGCTCGCTGCCCACTGTCTCAGCTCCCTCCCGCTTGAGCCGCCGTCGCGGCCCTCGTTTCTCCCACAGGCTGTTGGCCCGTCCCTGCGTTGCCTGCGTTATCCCTCCTCCTCCGCGACTCCCTCAAGGCCGGCCGGGCCTCCTTCCACCCAGCGAAGAGCTTCCTCAGCCACTCGATGTGTTCCTCTCTCTTCATTATGCGCGCCGTAGCCTCATCATTGAGCTAGATCCACCTCTGCACCGCTCCCGTCGCCGCCTCGGCCACGACTTGCAAGTTCCTCGTAACCCCGGCGCCAAGGTCCCTCCGACTCTTCTCCGAGAGATCATCTACCAGCGCCGGCAACACCCCCCCGACGGCAGGGGCTAGTGCATCGTACCCGTCCTCATCCAGCACCCTATAGCGTGAGCCCTTCAGCGCAGCGATATGCGCTATCCTCAGCGTCTTCAGCGTATCCTTGGAGTCGGGTGCCGCCTGTGCTACTTTGCTGATCGCCGTCCCCGTCTGCGCTCGCGCTACTCTGAGGAACCATCTGGCCTGCTCCCTATTCCCCAGGCAGGCGCCGCTAAGCAAGTGCGCCATCGTTGCTCTAGGCGGGTTCTCGTCTTCCTCGGTCCATTGCTGCGCGGCTTTCCGCACGATCGGACACAGCGGGTCCCGCTTACCTTTAGTGCTGCCCTCCTCGCCGCGTCCCTCGCGGCCTTACAGACGAGGCAGCCCCTGAGTTCGCTCCTTGTGGCGGCGCCCGGGGTCTCTCTCCCCGCCTCTCCCCGCATGATCCTCTCGTGGTGCGCTCCGTGTGGCACCCCCGCCTGCTGCCGCACCCGCGCTCCCATGACGGTCTTTGTCACCACGTTATGATCATCCACGTCGGCGAATCAATCTCGCGCTCGCCGTGCTTGATCCTTGATCCGCTGGCGCTTGTCCCATTTGTGTCTCGTCGTTCCCCTGACCACATCGCTCCACAGCGGCCCCGTCACCCCTGCCGTGTGCGACCCCGCCGTGAGCCCCTCGCCGAGCCGTCCTCGCACCCACTCGTTCGTGTGGCCGCGTGTGGCGTAATAGGTCCTCCGGTCCAGTACGTCTCCCCTCCACTCTCCGTCTGCCGTCCTCCGGCGGTCCGTGTACAGGCACGGGCGTGTCCTCACTGCTTCCCGGATGACGGCGGTGGCATCCTCAATCTCGCTGGCCCCCATGTATGCCGTCGCCGCGGCGTCGGCGTTGCTAGCGCACCCCGCGTGGCTCGGTACCCACAGGAACGTGACGGATTCAAGCTGGGCGCGATATCGGCATATCCCCTCGAGGCAACCTCCTCCCGGAGCCCCTCAAGAGAGCCTTTTCGGTACGCCGCCTCGATCTGCTGTAGCGCGGGCTTGCAGTCGCTCAAGACGAGGCACCTCCTGTCCGCCGCATCTTCCGCCGTTGCCATCTTACGCAGGTAAGCCAGCACCGCGTACATTTCCGCGTCTATCACCTGCCAGTCGTCTGGCAGTCTGCCGCCCCACAGCCCCTGCCCAAACGCGAGCCGCAGCTCATCGTCCCCACCTTCGAGCTGTCCAGATCCCTCGACGGGTCTCCCGAATCGGGCCGGCCCTTTGTACACCCCATACGACACAACTGGTCGCGGCACGAACCTATGCAAAAAAAGAGAGTAGAGTCGGCTCCGCGAGAGAGAGAGAGAGAGATCCGCGCGCTCTCGCCTCTCCAAAAAAGTTCCGTCGCCGCACGCGGGATTTTGGCGATTGCGCAATATGCGCATATGTGGGGGCGCTGTTGGCAATTGGGGGCTCGCTCCGTCTCCTCTCACGCCTCCGTTGGTCCGAGGTGCGGTGTCCCAAAGTCCGTGTCCCAGAGCATATCGACCTCTTTGATACACACACATTCTGATATAGCGCGCTCACGGCCCCAGTATTCACTTCACAGGAAACGTGCTGTGCAGGTCGCGCGGCCGGCGGCCTTGTGCTCCTCCGGCGGCGTCGCGGCCAGAGTGGCAGCAGCTCGCCTCCGCGGCGCACGCGCCGCAGTGGCGCCGGAAGATTGCCTCGTCGTCGCTCAGGTACCGTTGCAGCGGCGCCAGCAGGTGGGGCGGCACCACCGGCTCGGCGGAGGCGGCGCGCTTCCGGCGGCGGGTCGGGTTGACGTTGCCGGTGGCGTTGAAGAGGCAGCGCACGCCGACCGCCGCCGCCATGCAGGCGAGCCGCTGTGCGAGCAGCCGCCTCGAGTAGCACACGTAGACCGATCTCGGGTCCTCCTTGTCGACGAAGCGGCGGAGAGGGTGAAAGTGCGCCGACCATGCCCAGCTGGCGAGGGCCTGTGGCGCGTTGACGATAAGCTGCGCCGTCGCGCGGTGCGGCGACGAGCCGTTGAGCAGCCCATCGAGGAAGCCTTCCCACGGGAGCCGACGCGCCGGCTTGAGAAGGAGCGTGGCCTGCGGGTTGCCGCGCGAGAGAGCGGACAGCTCGCTCGAGCCCTGCTGCCAAAAGTCAAACGAGGATTGCAGCCGCTCGAGTGGCGCGCGAAGGACGACCAGCGGCCGGAGCCCCACCTTGAGCACGTCGCTCTCCGCCGTCGAGTGCGCCCGCCTCTCGATGACGATGTCGTCGCACCGGTCGCCGAGTGCATGCCGCACCGCAAGCCCTCCCGTCTTTGGCACGTGGACTAGTCCAAAGCGCGCAGTGGGCAGCTCGCCTGGTTCCAACCCTGGCGGTGGCGCTGTTGCAGAGCTCTCCAGACGGAGGAGCAGGGCGAACGCGGCAAAGGTGGAGAGCACAAGCCACAGCGGCACGCGGATGGCCATTTGGAAAAAGGGGCTGTCGCGGGGTTCGGGCTCCGAGGAGGGTCGGCCAACCACCGGCTGGCATCTCAGCCATACCCTCCTACCGCGAATGGGTGAGATCTAGGCATGTCAGCCATCCTTAAGTCACATGGCAGCCCATCATGGCTGCATACAGCATCCTTCCTTGCCACTCCGCCCAGTCATACAGCCGTCGCAGCCATCGGCCGCGGAGGATGGCTGTCGCGAATACCGAATTTTACCCAGCCTTCTCGCCGCCCCCGACACGAGTGCAGGTGGCTCCGCTCTCGCTCCGCGAGCCACCCGCCCTTGTTCTGGATGGCTGGCGTCGTTATCTCTCCAGCCATCTCCGGCCGATGCGCGATGGCTGCGACGGCTGTATGACAGCCATCTTGCTAGCCATCTTGCGGCCGGGCGGATGGCTGGGACGCACGCTGGCTGCACTGGCTGGTGCGCAGCCAAGATAGCGCGTGCTTGGGAGCGCGGAGTGGCTAGGATGCTTTAATTGCAGCCACGTGACTTTAAGGATGGCTGTGAAACAGGGAGCGCAGTCTCATCCCAGGTGCACATTTCGAGGTTAGCCAGGAGGGTCTATCCCGAGGGGCCGAAGTCACGAGGGTCTGTCCCGAGGTCCCGAGGTAGAATAGCGGTGGAGCACCGCAATAGGTAGGGAGGCCCGATTTTGACCGCCCGGGGAGGAGGGGGGGGGGGGGGGGGGCGAAAAGAGTGCTGCCGCGCGCCGTTTTGGAGCCGTCCATCGCCTCGAGAACCCAGTAGGTCATGGTTGCTCTGGCAGGCTCGCGAGAGGCGCTGCACGCGCGGCATGGTACAAGCCGCCAAGCCGACGCGCCGGCCGCAACCATAATTCACGAAGGGGGGGCAAACGGGTATTTTCGCTTCGCTGCACGGCTGGGAATAGGTAGGTACGGTGGGGCACGGAGCCTGGCGGTGGGCGCCCGCAACAGGTAGGCAGTGGGGCGCTTTGGCGCTACTCAGTGTCAACAAGACCCCGCCACTAAGCACTATCCGGGTAGGCCGCCGAACCCAGGGCGGGCGTCCCATGAGCCATGTACCCGGCATCATTAAATGCATTCGATCCAGTTTCTTGAGCACAGACGTCATCAGCCGCCGAGGGAACGTTGGGAAGAGGCACGATAAGGAGGGCGGCGACCGCAACCGACTATGGAGGACCCGTCGCCAGACGACACAGAGGGCAGACGACGGGGAGGCGGAGCAGACGCGCAGGGCGAGACGAGGGAGGGGGAGCAGGCGACTTTGCGGAGATCAGCAGGAGGATGTACGAAGAGATTAGGAGCAGCAGGGACCCGCGAGGGACCATGTGGAAGACGGCTAGTGCTAGTCCCGGGAGGACGACCCCGGCTAGCCGTCGCCGACCACGACACCCACAAAGAACCCTGCACGCCTGCACACAAAGATCGCAAGGGCGGGGAGACTTGCTCCATTTTACCCATCTCCCAATTGAGGTGTCTGCTTTATTTATGTATTTTGAGCACAGGCAAGGTCCAAGGACACATGTGCATGCACATGTGCGGCAGCGCGCCGGGGCACAGAGTTCCTGTGTGGGCGGGTATAGGCTGTGGTCCCGATATAGATCTCTATAGACCAGCCCCTTGGAGTGAAGGCTTCGTAGCCCTCCGGTCTACTAAGGCCGATTGCATGCTAAAGGCTACACGCTCGCACACACCACACTTGCAGAGTGGCTCTCCCAGGCGCTCACCCCACCCCGCGGAGGCACGCCAGGCCCCGGGCAGCCGGCCGTCACTCGCCTAAGGTAGCGCCTAAGCGGCCTAAGCGGGGGGTGCTTAGGGTGCTTAGGCGCTTAGGCGGCCCTTGTGCCTTGCGAGCGTGGCGGCGTCGTATACAAGTGACTCCGATGGCAATCATGATGGTTGATGCCCCTGCTAGTGTGTCATCGCTCAGAGAGCAGCCTCACGGTCTCCCGCTCTGCTCCCTGCGCCGACTGGGACTCCCAGTTGCCTTGCGCGTCCCCTGGACCCTCTCACCCCCACGAGAACATACAAGCTGCGTCCTCACTACACGTACACGCACAACAACCAGCGCATTGCAACCCGTGAGCACCACTCAA